CAGGGAGCCCGATGTGGGACTCGATCCCGGGACTCCAGGATCATGACCTGAGCCGAAGGCAGTCGCTTAACCAACTGAGCCACCCAGGCGCCCTAAAGTATATATTCTTTAAAAATGTTTGAGCATATTAGAATAAGCAACTGGGGCACCTGCGTGGCTCAGTCGGTTAAGCGTCTGCCTTCGGCTCAGGTCATGATCCCAGGGTCCTGGGATCGAGCCCCACATTGGGCTCCCTGCTCAACAGGAAGCCTGCTTCTCCCTCTCCCGCTCCCCCCTGCTTTGATCCCTCTCTCGCTGTCTCTCTCTCTGTCAAATAAATAAATAAAATCTTTAAAAAGAAAGAAAGAAAGAATAAGCAACTGAAAAACTCAAATTTCAGATATTAAAGTTTATAAAATCACAGACAGACAAAACATTCAGAGGTAATATTTGAGGAGCAAAAGAGGCAGAGGATAGTTGTCTTCAGCACAATTAAAATAACCCTCCCTGATTCCTGTAAGGTAGAACTTCAGGTGCCACAGAGAAATAGCTACTCAGGGTTCAATGCTTTTTTTCAAAATTCATCTTGATAAAACAAGATTAGCCTTGAGTCAATCCTCATTTATGCTAAGGGATACAGCATATGGTGGTTTATTATACTGTCCTCTATACTTTTTTGCATATTTTTGAAATTTTCCATAGTAACAACAAAAGTATAACAGCTGGAATGTCAAATCTTTTATATATATCTCACCTTGACTCTCACTGAATATCAAAACCCTTTCTTGCAAAAAGCCCCGTAGCTGCCATTTCTCTGAGCTTCAGCATAGTAATCTGACATCAAAACTTCTTTAATTCTTCTTTTATTCCAAACCTCCTCTTTTCCAAGCTTTCTTTCTCTAAGATAGCATAAGGAAGAAACAGCAAAACATAATGATACCGCAGACCTCATTCCAGTCTTGTTCACTGTCATTTTTATTTCCAAGAAGGTAGTATCTCCAAACTCCTTATAATTACATTCCTTCCACTTGTCGATTTCCTTGCCCAGTGACTTTTGCACAAAGAGAAAAAACTGATTTATGTTTGTATCTACTGAGAAAATCACAGGATATCTATGTAAACTGTTTCAACATTCATCCATATTACTTTTATTTCCCATAGGCATCATGGGCATCAGGGCTCCTCCTGTGTATGATAGGAGGTAGAAATGATAACAAAACCACATGTTCTGGGGTGCCTGGGTGGCTCAGTCGTTAAGCGTCTTCCTTCGGCTCAGGTCATGATTCCAGGGTCCTGGGATCGAGCCACGCATCGGGCTCCCTGCTCGGCAGGAAGCCTGCTTCTCCCTCTCCCACTCCCCCTGTTTGTGTTCCCTATCTCACTGTCTCTCTCTCTGTCAAATAAATAAATAAAATCTTTAAAAAAAAAAAAAATCACATGTTCTCAGCCTCTACACAAGCCGATGGCTTTGTGGGGAAGCAGTATTATTGAAATAACCATACATATAAAGAAACAGACGGAAATCCATTGTGAGGAAGGGAGAATATGGGACGTTAAGGGTGATAACACCAAGGATTTGAAGGCAGGGGCTGGGGGCTGATGAAGAGAAGGCTTTCCTGGGGAAGTAAGAGTCTCACAGAGGTGAAATTACTGGGGATCTCTATTTTTAAATGGAGTAGAATTGTAATTCAGTTAATGTATGAGGTGGTAAAAATGGAAAAAGAAATAGGCTGGAGGAAATTGGCAGACAAAAATGGAGCGTAGATTGGAATAGGATCTATTTAAAAAAGAGAGAAACATTTAAGACGTCAAGAAAAAGGAGTGAAAGCCTCAGAAGCATTCATTCATATATTGAAATATATTAAAAAAGAATTATTTTTCCTCTCCATTTAAGAAATATTTATTTGAAATTACCGTGTCCAGGAACAATGTTAAAATGAGGGGTGGAGGGAAGGAGAGAAGGGAGAGAGGAGGGAGGTGAAGGTGATTAAGACGATTCTACACCAAGGAACTTGCTAGAAAGATCAACATAGAGACAGCCCATCATACCTCAGGGTTCCGGTAGTAAGTGCTTGGGAAAGGTGATGACAAAAATAGGTTCGAGCTGAGCCCAGTGTTGGAGGACACTGGAACTCAGCATGAGGGAGGAGGAAGTGCGAAATATTATTCCCCATAATAGCATACTTAAAATTCTTTTAAAAAAAAAAGAGTGGGGGGGTGGCACCTGGGTGGCTCAGTAGTTAAGCGTCTGCCTTTGGTTCAGGTCATGATCTCAGGGTCCTGGAATCGAGTCCTGCATCGGGCTCCCTGCTCAGCGGGGAGCCTCCTTCTCCCTCTCCCTCTGCCTGCCACTCTGCCTACTTGTGCTTTCTCTCTGTCATTTAAATAAATAAAATCTTTAAAAAAAATAAAAGTAAAAAATAAAATTGTTATGCCAGGGGAAGAAGATGTGATCGCTGAGGAGTGCAGAATTCTTTCAGGGTACTCATGCTGGGGTGGAGCATTATGCAGCACATCTTTCGAAGTACTCTGATCTTAATTTGTATTCCAAATAAAATATGAATCCTATATCTAAAGGAACATTATTATACTTTCCAGAATTAAATGATCAATACAAGTGCCTCAAATAGACCACAAAGTACAGTGTTGTAAAGGAAACAGCTGTCCTTTCAGACTTCTGGTGCATGGGTGAGGCTGCATGCTCCCCAGCTTCCTTTTATAGTCTCAGGGTAATGGACTCTCTGTTTTAGGCTCGAGAGAGTGCACCCAAAGCTATTTTTGTTCATTTGGCCAAGTAGCTAAAATATTGATTTTGTTTCTTA